TACACTAATCTTTTTAATCACAAATCAACCTTCGTGTAAGCTGCAGTTATAATAACCGACTTTGTGAATTAAATCATAATTACAATAATCGATTTAGCCAGTTGAATCTGTTTATGATTACAATAATCGACTTTGCGAGTCAAACCGATAACAAGTAACTTTTTTAAAATATTGTAACCAACTTTCCAAGTTAAATCTGATTATGGTCACAATAATTCACTTGACGAGTCAAACTGATGACCACTAACTTTTTAAAAATTTAAAATAAAATTTATTTTCTTCCCTTTTCTTTTCCTCGCTTTGTTGATATAACCTTTCAACCCGAAAAACTCATTTGCATCTTGAAAATAAATTAGTTTATTTCGTGTCCAGATTTTCTATAAACTCCGTTCATTTAGAGCACGCTAAGTTACAAGCTAGTGAGACTATCAACTTGATAAATTTGAACACTAATGTCTGTATATGAATACTAATGTTAAAAGGACAATTGATCATGCAATAAACCGACAAATTATAGGTTATTCTCGTAGATTAATTTCTAGTAAAGAAAGGGGGTTTCTTGTCTTTCTAGTTGAAATTACTGTTCTTGGAATTAAGGGTTGGGCGGCTTCCTAATATATATGATTTGTAGGGGTTAGTCTATCTGTCAGATCTGGAGTGGACGATGTGAAAGAAATAACTAATTATATGATATTGTTTAACTTTAGTGGCGAAATATATCACCAAAACATTAATTATCTTTAGTAACTATTTATGAAATTAAACAATCTCGCCCAAAGGTTACGCAATTCTTGGAAGGAAGGAGCTAGTTGTGGTCTAACTAGGAAAGGTCATTGCATTTCGTGGAAGCCTTCAAAAACTGGTATGACCATTCAAATGGACGGTGCGTGCGACTTTAATGTTAAAGTCATTGTTTGGCCCCATTTTGGAGAATTTATAAAATTTGGAATAGTGTGACGAGAGAATGTGTGGGTAAAATTAACGAAGAAAAAAATTTAATGGGGTCAAATAATGACTATATTTTCAAATTTAGAAAGACTTGGAAGAAGTTTTGCATGCCTTATTTATGCCTTTCAGCTTCGTTGTTTAAAAAAAAAATAAAAAATAAATGAAAAGATCTTGCAGTGCTTTTTTTTTTTTTTAATCCAATCCTACTACAACGGAACAGTCCTTCCCAAGTGCCATAAATAACATACGAAGGAAAAGAATTGTCGACAGTCAACGAGATCATCAAGCTTGACTTCATTTTATTTGTTTTAACATTTTGAATTAACAGAAAATTCCACAACAAGAATTTATTGCCATGGCAAAGCCCAACAGAAAATATTAATAAATTATTTTTATTCTTAAAGTATGGTAATAATTTTATCAACGTGTTCAAATTGATCCTACTTTCAGAGAGATCATTTTTTTTCATAATTTCCTTTGATCGATCCTTTTTCAACTCACGTGAATCTAGCGGTCGCAAATGGGCAGAGCAGCTCCTCGCTCGGCTCATGAAAAGTCGGCTCATGGGGGGCTTGGGCTGTCAAATGACGAGCACGAGCCCTAGCCGAGCAGGTTGCTCACTAGGCGAGCCGATACATGAATCTTGCATCGACTTGTCTTTATTTTTATTTTATTTTTTTAATCTTGGCTAAAACATAGCACCATAATATCGTCGCAAATTCTGTCGTAAGATTCTTAATTTTTGAAAAGAATTTGCAATAGTAAGGGCAATTGTACATTCCGAAGGAAACTCTCATGATAAAGCAAACCATATGAGACAAATCTCGTAAAAGAACTATTATTCCCACTAAGCCACAGGCCCTTTTTTCTGTCAAAACGAGTAAAAGTTTGATCGAGGAGCCCCAACTACTCTAGGACAAGAACAAGAAATGTAGATATCCTGTGCAGATTCCTAAAGCATTATGCTGGAGAAATTTCGACGGGAAATGCTGATCAAACGGCCGCCTTTATGGAGAGAATCGAAAACCCAACTATTGTCGTGTATATCGATTGAACAGAACTAAATAGCACCGTTTGCGCTGCAGAAATGGAGGCGGAAATCCCCCAAATTGTGGACCCATCTTGCCACCTTATGCCACGTCAACAGCCCACAGAGATCAGCATGAGCTGGAACAACCGAAAATATGCATTGCCGACGTGGAGACTAATACTATGTTTGTTTCGGATTCTCAAATCAATTCTCATTTTCACCCACACATTCTTCAATAAAATAATATTTTCCATCACATCAATACTTTTTTCTTCTTTTTCAACCACACATTTCCCATCATATCACTATTCAAAATCAATTCTTCCCCCAA